TAGATAACCAATAGCAGAAAATTTATACAAGAACCATAAATTGAAATACTAATTAAAAAAACTGCAATAAATACTGTCCTTTAAGAAACCATATCCTATTAAAACACTGCATGGAATAAATAACACTGGTTGTTCAAGCAGCCTAAGAATCAAACTACAAAAGTGCACTACTTCCTCTAAATATTCAACTCAAAAATTATTACACGTGAACCTAATCACAAATACAGGCGTACCTCAGTTTACGAATTTAATGCGTTCTCCAGGACATTTTGTATTGCGAAAAATTCTTAAACGAAATGCGGTTTCCCGTAGGAATGCATTGAAAACCAATTAATCCGTTTCGAAAAAGTTTAAAAAAAAAAATTGCTGTTTACTATAGGTCAGTGCTGGTTTTTAAATGTAATTACCGGCTTTTTTCTCTCCTTCACTATAGCTGAGAATCAGCTGTCACTTCCCCCCAGCTAAAAAGCTTTTCCTTTTTTAGTTTATTTCCCCAAGATAAAAGACCAAGTATCCTTAAGCTCCAGGGAAAGTGACAGCTAATTCTGTGAGTTATAGTGAAGAAAGAAAAGCCGGCAATTGCATTTAAAAATCAGCACCGACATACACTTCGTATTGCGGAAAAAAAAAAATTTTGTAAACGGAGGCATTATTTTCAATGGATTTTAATTCGTAAACCGAAAATTACGTTAACCGACGCGTTCGTAAACTGAGGTACACCTGTACAGCATACATTTGAATCCTAAGTTCAGACTACCCCTGCATGCAGCACTTGGAGAGGAAATATATAATTTGAACACAGACCAAAATAATTTCCCATGTCACTCAGTGGGGCATCATGGTTGTATGAAGGTATTCAAAGGTTATCCAAGATTGAGCGCACTGACGGCATCCTCCTCTCTGATGCGGTTAAAGAATCCAAAAAAGTGGATGATAGGCCTCAGCTAATGTTGGCTTTAGATGCAAGCTGTGAACTGCAACAAGCCTGTGTGTTTTTTTGCTTTTTGCCTGTTGGCAGTTGCCCACCCCTTTTTGTTGGACTGATCTTGGACATCCCATCAGATCCTGTATCCCATACTGACTTGGTGTAGAAAATCTTTTCTTGGCTTTCATTAAGGGGTACCGGTCCCTCACCTCTCTCATTATCCAATCAAAGCTTTTCCCCCTTTAAGAGTCACATAACCCAATTGTCTCCGAATATCTGATCCGATGTCCCTTAACCTCCCTGGCGGTATTCCTGAGTGTAGCTCGGGGTAAAGTTTCAGTACCACAAGCGGTAACCCCGAGCTACACTCGGGCTTACCATGCGGCGCTGCTCCGCGATCCCTCGATCACTTACCTTGTCCTGCGCTCCCGCGATGTCCCTCCTGCAGTGTCCCCGGCAATGTAATCTGGCGGATGCTGGAATCTGTCTTCTGGGTTCCGTCCTCTGCGAGCGTCGGGACGTACGGGGGACGGAACAGCAGGAAATTTGAAAATGACAAAAAGTGACATTCACTAAAATCACATAGTATAACATTCCTGTATCAAACCATTTCACATACATTTTGTCCCGAGTGCTTTGTCCGGCGCCCTGCCTGCATTTTTACTGTTTCTGCCTGGAAACTGAGAAAAGTCCATGGCGTCCAAAAAGCGTCCCTTTAGGTCAAAATCGGTTTTAGACCGGCTAGAGAACAGCGATAGTAAATCAGAACCACTTGCAGAATTGAGTGATGATTCGTGGGGGAAATTCATCATCAGACACTGAAAACGATTTTGCAACTTTACTCAGCGATGTGCAAACTTGGCGCTATATTTCAAATTTCAGTGTTTTTCGTTTGATTATATTATTGAATTAAATTTATTATATTATGATTATTTATTAAATTATGATTTTGTGTTTCAAGTTTTGTCCTACCCGGGATGTTTACTAGACTCTGGTTTGGACAGATTTAAGTGAGTTATTCCTAAGAATTACAGGCCTACTATATAAAACGCCAAATTTCCATTCAAAATAATGTTACCCGCTTTCAGCACCAAAAATCTGAAATGATCATACCGCCAGGGAGGTTAATGAACTTCAGGAAGGGATTGTATATCAAGCTGATCTTGCCCATAATTTTGTATTTGATAGTAGAAAAGGAACTCTGCAAGGCAACAGTCAATGCTGAACCTCCAAAGCAACGAAGAAAGGGTGTTGCATTGTCTGACACCCTGAATGTTGTCTATTAAAGGTGAATGTGTTCAGACCAATGTACAAGATGATTGTAAGAACAAAAGAAAAATAAAGCACAACACAATAGATTACAGCTGTCATTATTCCATTGTTCAGAGCAATCAGATATCCTCACTTCTTTCCAAAAGTTTTTTTTTTTTTTCAGTCCAGACATCTTTTTATTCTGTATAATGGGCTTCCTGGCATGAAAAAAGCAAACTGCCGTGCTATAAATCATGGTTCTGCTTCAATGCAACTTGGAGTATTGAAATTTGCAGTGATCAAGCTGTACTTAGATTTGTTTTGCTACACTAGAAACATTAATAAAACCTTGAAGTATACACATCTTGGCTATTGACACATGCATAGATGTGGGCTTACGTCATGCAGGCACACGTATGTAAAGTGCTGTAACCCATCACAGCCAATCGCATGTTAACTTCTGCTCAATTACCCTGGTCTCCTCCTCCCATGCCCGCCTCCAGGACTTCTCCAGGGTGTCACCCATCCTCTGGAACTCCCTGCCCCAACCCATCAGATTATCACCTACTCTCCTCTCCTGAAAACCCACCTCTTCAGGGAAGCCTACCCCACCCCCTGCTAACTTGCCGACCTCCTCCACTCTTCCTACCACTCCATCCCCCACAGCTATCTCCTCCTGTACCACCATCCCCTCCCTCCTAGATTGTAAGCTCCAAAGAGCAGGGCCCTCGATCCCCTCATATTTTGCATTGTATTGTTGTTGTTCTGTCACATGTTCTGTCCCCCTCTGTAATGTACAGCGCTGAGCAAACTATTGGCGCTTTATAAATACTGTACAATAATAATTACCTACTTTAAATTGAATTATTAGTTGAAAGTTGCATCTTGTTAATGTGTGCTTTTTGTACAGCTTTCTAAAATGGTTCTGTGAAATATCTCAATCTATTTGAGGGGAAAGCCTTCCTTGCATGCTTCTGTGTAGTAAAAAAACTTTTTTTTATAGGAGTGTGGCTTGAGAGGTTAATGCAAATCAATCTACCTGCAATTGTTCACTGGAGCTTAAACTGCAGGTTTTTTTTTTTTGTTTTGTTTTTTTTTAAGATTAGTGTAAATCTAAATCTGTACCACAGCAGGCAACTTTTTAATGTCTTCTGACCCCATCTGCAAAGGAAAATAAAGCATTCACAAGCACGCCAGAAGTTTAGATGCTTAAGTTGCATGTGGATGACATCAGCTGCTTCCAAGCAAGGCTATTGTGTGTGCAGTTTGGCACAGCAATCAGGATTCAGAGTACACACGCATGCTTTTGGCAGAGATTCGTCCCCCCTCCTTTTTTTTTTTTTTTTTTTTTTTTTTTTTTTTTTTAATTCTCCTTTTGAACTTTTTATTATCTTGGGGTTTGGATATTAACATGTGGGTGGTCATAAAATATTTTTTTCTTTTTTTTTTTTTTTTCTGGGTTGGGATTTTTTTTTTTTTTTTATTTATTTATAAAGGCTTACAAAAAAAAAAAATCTGGGAAGTCTGCAAAGAGTGTGTGGGAAATGATTACATCAGTCAGAGGAGAACTACGATTGGTCTGCAAAATGTGGTTTGATTCACAACCTAAAAGATTGACTATGTAACCCTTTGAGAGGAGGTCTGGAAGAGTTGCCTGCCTTTCCCCAGGAACAGTGCCATGTAAGACTGGCTACGTGACAGGTACAGTACAGTAATCCGTTGACACTGTGTATTCTACCCTGAGTGTGCAGCTTTTAGTCTGCAAAAGGGGCCTGGAAGGCAAAAAAAGGAAATATAAATATTTCAAGAGGCAATCTAGACTTAAAATGCCATCTTGTTCTCCTGATTGCTGCCTTTTACATGCGGTAGAGGTAAGATTTTTCATATTAAAATGATGATATCTTTATTTTGTTTCACTCGCTACATTGAGTGCATTAGTTTGATATATGTGCACTTGTATAGTCACAAAGATATTTGTATATGTAGTAGACTTATCTGTTTAAATCCATTTTGAGATCATCCTTGTGCAAAAGTTTAAATCCTTTAAAAATATATAAAAATGTAACATTTAATGTATGTGTTTCACATAGCTTAGGCAACCTTCTTATATACATATGTGAATGTATGATCATTTTTAATCTAGATGTAGAATTCTGCAAAGGTGCAAGACTTTCCTGGGTGCCAGTTGTCATTCATGTCATAAACATGATCTTGCAAAGGGAAAATTATAGAACACAGATAAAGAATTACATTTCGGCATAAGCAGACCAGTATACGTGCTGTGCAAGGGAATACCTAATTGCAAGTCTAAAATTTTGTACGGAAAGAATATTGTAGCAATGTTGCAAAAAACATTCACTGAAGCATAATTTACAGGTTGCAGTTTCTATGATATAGTAATACAATGGATGTTCTTTTAAACCTTTCTTACAAAAAACACTAGTATTATACAAATGTTGATTTATAGCGTCCGCTATGTACCTACATTTTTTTTTTTTTTTTTTTTTTTTTTTTTTTTTTTTTTTTCTTCAGTCTTTTTTTTTTTTTTTTTTTTTTTTTTTTTTTTTAAAGCTTAAAGTTATAACCGGTTTTTAAACTTCGCCTTTTTTGAAAGTTGAAAAAGTAACAAAAGATTCACTTATTACTGCAGCGCAAAGTGATAGTACAGCTTAATTAGTTCACAGGATTCTAAAGTTTCACCCATAGTGGTAGCATGATATGTTCTTAGCACAATGACCTCCAGTGAGGCAAAAGACAAGGCAAGGTTATTGTTAATGCATTGTGATAGAACATCCAGCTATTAAGTGTGTCCTTTATGTTACAGGTTGTTAAAGTCTATAGTGAAGATGGGACAAGCAAAATGGTGGAGATTCTAGCAGACATGACAGCCAGGGACTTCTGCCAGCTGCTGATTTACAAAAGTCATTGTGTGGATGATAACAGCTGGACGCTGGTGGAGCACCACCCTCACCTAGGATTAGGTAGGGAATGGTAAAGGAAGGTGATAAAGATGTATGGAATTGTTGGTTTTTTTTTTTTTCGTTTTACTGGACTTCTACAAAGCATACATGCTAGGCCTACTCTTATGCAGGTTCCATATTTTGTGTTATTTTTCACATATATAGCATGCTTACAAGAGTATAAAAAAGTAACAATTACACTTTACCCAAAGAATATTTTCCATGGCAATTATATGATCAAGTTTATAGTAATGAATTGGCACAGCCTGCATTTCTAAAGGCTTTCAACATTTTAAAATGAGTCAGGGGGGTAGATTTGCTAAAGACACAGGTCGTTCACTTTGCCTTTAGTAAATCAACCCCCTTACAAAGTGAACGACCTGTTTGCCTTTAGTAAATCAACCCCCTTACAAAGTGAACGACCTGTTTGCCTTTAGTAAATCAACCCCCTTACAAAGTGAACAACCTGCTTGCCTTTAGTAAATCAATCCCCTTACAAACAGGTTGTTCACTTTGTAAGGGGGTTGATTTACTAAAGGCAAACAGGTTAACTTTGTAAGGGAATCTCCCCCAAAGCTTAGTGAACGTGTTGCACTTTTCATTTTACCAAGAATACCCAATAACATGCAAAAAAATAGGGGGGAATGCTTTTTTTTTTTTTTTTTTTTTCTCTCCTCCTGCACATGACTGGATGATGGAAGTCAGTGGAGCTTTACCTCATTTTCTAATCTATGGTGAAAATTGCTTTGCAAAGTGCAACTTTCACTGCAAATAAGTCAGTTTGCCTTGTGGAACTCAGCCCTACTGTGTTCATGTAGTGTCCATTCTATATGCAGCAACTACCTTGATGTATAGTTTCTCATTCCCATCAAGTAGATACACACAATATATCTTTCAATACAGAGTTCTATTAAAGAGGAATATATTGGCTTAGATATACCTACATACTGTTCTGTATCTTTACTTTTTTGTCACCTGTTGTGAAAATGCGAATGCCAAATTAAGACTTGGATTAAACTAATTTTAAATCTAATTAGCAAGCTTTAAAGGCTATTAAAACATCTTGCGAGGGATTGGGGACATCGCCAAAGCTTGTTTTTTCTTTAAACATTCTTTAGTGGTAAAAGCGATCAAAAAGCAAAACATGGCTTCTGAAACACAATGGGAATTGAACTGCCTTTCTGATGCATTTTTAGCTGTAATGAAAATATAAAACCTTTCAAAAAAAATTGTTACTAAAGAATATATCATAACTACAGAGTAGCTTTAACTTTTAACTATTTGAAAGTGTTTACTTTGGAGTTGCATTTAGTTTGACTGGACAGGAGAAAGCAACAGCTCTAGCAAACATGCTTTTTGATAGGTATTTTTTTTTTTTTTTTTTTCCCCACTCTTGCCTTTTCCTTTTTTTTTTTTTTTTTTTTTTTTTTTCTCTACTCAAAGTATGTTTCTAAATGACACACACTGCAGTGCCAAATTTCAAAATATAAAAACTACACATTAGCTGCATTTGACACTGATTGCCCATTGCTGCCCTAGGCAGTGGTCCAACTACGGCCCGCGCGGACCTTTTAATCCGACCCGTGGAGCGTGATACTGTCAGGATGGCTGTCAGGATGTGTGTAGGCGGGGCAGCGTGAGAACGAGGGGAGCTAGGCTCCTCACAGTCCGCCCTGAAGACCGGAACGGCGCAGGAACACGGCGAGAGGAACGCGTGGAATAAAGGTAAGTGAATTGACACAGGGGGGACTTGGCTTACTATGAATTGGGGGGGATGAATTGCTATAGGGGGGATGAATTGCTATATGGGGGAATATTACTATACTTACTATGGATGACACACACACATCATTCATCTACTCTTGGTCCGGCCCCCGGGTCCAATATATGAACCCATTGCGGCCCTCAAGTCAGAAAATTTGCCCACCCCTGGCCTAGGGCATGAGCTAGGCACCAAGCCTTAGTGTACACAGTGATTGTTGCGGCCAAATTCAGCAAGAATAATGTAGGGGAAATGGTTTATGGTACATTATAAGGAAGGAAACCTGAAACAATTTTTTTTCTGGCTTTCTGATCTGCACAGTTTAAATGTAGCTCAGCATATATAAGAAATTGCTTAGTTTCCAGTTGCCTATTCTAGCAGTGGTTTTTATTAAAATAATCACGACTCGAGGGGTGAAATGGGTATAAAGGGCATCAGTTTAAAGATGTTCCTGCAGCAGAGAGTACAACCGTAGCTACACACAAATATCGTAAAATGGAAAAATACACACAATTGTTTGCAAAGTGTGAACTGACCTTTCTAGTGCTGTAAATATTACTGACAGCATTGCACTGTAGTGTTTAGAGACCAACCAATCATTTACATCAGTGGTAAAAGGCACTAGACTAAAGTCAAGTTCCAGGCATAGTGTTATCTGGCCATAAGTCATAACTTTAACATAAGTTGGCAAACTGAACAAAAAACTATTCTTCCATCCACAAGCATGTTGGATGAAGGAATCTCTTATGAGAAATTGTATTCTGACAGCAGGTCACTGGCGTCTGCAGCCACTGACAAGTTTTCCAACTTTCCATTCAACAAAGGTCGAGCTAATAGTCAAACAGATGCCAACACATGTAATGATAGACTTAAGTTTTAAAAGTGAGAACAAAACAGGCAGTGGTCCTGCAGCCCTTCAGAAAGACCAGTGCTTGGTACAGCAATAGACTCAAAAATCCCACCCTCCAGGGGAAAAATGGATGCATGTAGTGAAAAGGACTTGTTCCCTAAGAACCGAAGCCCTAATTATTAAATTGGTGTTTCTGCTGGTTGGAAAGAGACAAAATCTCCTAGAGGCACTGCTCTGTGAGAAATGGAAAGAGGACAGTTGCCAAGATAATACATGGCAGGTAGCTATAGATGAGTCCTAACTCTATCCAAAAACGTTTAATAGTTGAACATGTCCTCGAGGGGGGCGGGGGGGGGTCTACGGTTAGGGGCTTTTCAGAATTTGGAAGCCCCCTTTAGTGGGGGGTCCGCCAGACACATTTGCCCTATGTGAATGAGTATAGCATACATAGTACCCCTACTCATTCACAAAGTCACCTAGAAATAGACAGACCGTATGTTTTTTGACAGGTTCATTTAAAAAAAAAAAATAAATCTGAGTCTATAATTGTAAATCCATAGTCAATCACTATCTGCCAATGGGAAAGCTTGACCTGTCCCACACAACCAATCCCTAGCCGAACGACCGCTCCCAGAACTGTCATTGGTTCCATAAAAGGGGCAGGGATAGTTGACTTTGCCCAAGGATGTCTGTGGCCGCTTCTGGCCAATGTTGCCCAACTATGACCATAATTTCCAATAGTGACATGAAAGAAAAGACCGCCAGCTTTTTAAATGGGTAGACTTTTTTTTTTTTTTTTTTTTTTCTTCTAGAGTAGTAATGTTGACCTAGAAGGCTAAGGAAAATTATATAAATCAGGAAAAACATGCAGGCGTAGATTACCCCATAACCTGTGCTCTCCAAACAGCTTGGGAGCTTAGCACTGCTGTCTTGTAGTCTAAAAGTTTTATATAGTATGTATATGTGTGTGTATATACAGTTAGGTCCATATATATGTGGGCCACGAGCACAATTTTCATACTTTTTTTAATTTTATTCTGGTGGCATACAGAGCCAAAACAATCCAAATGAATTTGAAGTGCAGACTTTCAGCTTTAATTCCATTGACTGAACATAAATATAAAGTACAAATTTTAGGAACTGTAACCATTTTTAATACAGTCCCTCCATTTTCAGGGGCTCAAATGTAATTTGACAAATGAATATAATCACAAATAAAAGTTCATTTTTAATATTGAGAATCCTTTACTAGCAATGACTGCCTGAAGTCTGGAACCCATGGACATTACCAAAGACTGGGTTTCCTCCTTTCTGATGCTTTGCCAGGCTCTAACTGCAGCTGTCTTCACTTGTTTTTGGGTCTTTCTACCTTGAGTTATGCAAGCAAGTTGCTTAAGGCATAACTCAATAGGGTTGAGATCAGGTGATTGACCCAACCATTGCAGAATATTCCACTTTTCCTTAAAAAGCTCCTGGGTTGCTTTGCAGTGTTTTGGATCATTGTCCATCTGTACTGTGAAGTGCCGTCCAATCAACTTTGCTGCATTTGGCTGAATCTGGGCTGACAGTATCTCTAAACACTACAATCCGGGTGCTTTTGTCTTCTGTCACATCAACCACCAACGATCCAGTGCCACTGGAAGCCATGCATGCCCATGCCATCACACTGCCTCAACTGGAGAGTGTCCTTCACTTGTCTGGATGTTGTGAATGGGTTTTTCATCTCCATAGGGAGGATCTTGCGATCATCCACCACTGTTGTCTTCCATGGACATCCATGCCTTTTTTTTATGTTTCTGAGCTCACAAGAACGTTCTTGAGCTCAGATGTACCAAGCTGTTGATTTGGCCACTCCTAATGTTGCTGCTCTCTGGATTTTTCCTTTTTGAAGCCTTACAATGGCCTGTTTCGTTTGCATGGACAGCTGCTGTTGGGGCAATTCCCTAAAGCTGAACACATGCTGAATTTAGTATACTATGGGAGAGATTTACTAAAACTGGAGAGTGCACCCATATGGAAGAAAAATATATTTGAAATATATTTTAAAAATATTCTTCCCAAATATATTGCCATAGATTTTGAAATACTACAATTTTGGCCATATTCAATATATTTCAATAAATATTTACTGCATGTTGAAATGCCTTTTTATTACAAAATATAAAAAATATTTTAAAAATACATTTCAAATATACTGTTTTAAAAATACAATCTGTTTTTGGAATGCATTTACAGATATTTGTAAAAATGTTAATTTTTTTTTTTAACAAAAAAGGTAATTTAATATATTCTATGCAAAAGTTAATTGACACAGATTTGCTCAAGATATTGCTTTCAATAATACCACAAACTACTGACTAACTTGGGATATAATGGCAACTCATGGGAAATGCATGCTTTCAAGGGGTC